GTCCCACCGAGTTTATCATGTCGGTCCCACCGAGAATCCTAACTTTCACATTTTTGAACTAAATCAGTCTCACCGAGTTCACCTATTCGGTCTGTCCGAGTTGGCTCAAATGTGTGTAACGGTCAGATTTTGTGTGGAGGCTATATATACCCCTCCACCCCCTTCTCTATTCAAGAGAGAGCCATCAGAACATGCCTACACTTCGACTACTCATTTTCTGAGAGAGAACCACCTACTCATGTGTTGAGACCAAAACAATCCAATCCAACCACAAGAATCTTGATCTCTAGACTTCCCCAAGTTGCTTTCCACTCAAATCATCTTTCCACCATAGAGAAATCTGTGAAAGAGAGTTGAATGTTGGGGAGACTATCATTTGAAGAACAAGAGCAAGGAGTTCATCATCATCACACCATCTATTACCTTTTGGAGATTGGTGTCTCCTAGATTGGTTAGGTGTCACTTGGGAGCCTCCAACAAGATTGTGGAGTTGAACCAAGGAGTTTGCAAGGGCAAGGAGATCGCCTACTTCGTGAAGATCTACCCAAGTGAGACAAGTCCTTCGTGGGTGATGACCATGGTGGGATAGACAAGGTTGCTTCTTCGTGGACCCTTCATGGGTGGAGCCCTCCGTGGACTCGCACAACCATTACCTTTCGTGGGTTGAAGTCTCCATCAACATGGACGTACGATAGCACCACCTATTGGAACCACGCCAAAAATCTTCGTGTCTACATTGTGTTTGCCTTCTCCAAACCCTTCCCTTTACCTTCACATGCAATATTTTACTTTCCGCTGCTACACTCTTAGAATTGCATGTGTAGGTTGATTGCTTGACTTGTGCTAAGTTGCTAAAATCTGCCAAGACTTAAAATTGGGAAAAGGCTAGATTTTTAGTTGGTCAAGTAGTCTAGTCACCCCCTCTAGACCTACTTTCGATCCTAGAATCAAGAAGGACATCAAGGAGTGGGAAGAGTACCTACCCATCGCCGAGTACACCTACAATCGCGCGAGACACTCTACTATCGGCAAGTCCCCCTACGAGGTTGTCTACGGCTTCAACCCGTTGTCCCCATTGGACATTCTACCTCTTCCACTACAAGAGTGCATCAACATGGACGCGAGTGCATGAGTGAGCTACCTCAAGAACATGCATGAAGATACAAGGCACACCATCGAGCGCCAAGTACAATGACTCGCGACCAAGCTCAACATGAACAACCAACCCATGAAACTCAACATTGGAGATCTTGTATGGCTACACCTTCAGGAGCGCTTCCCCAACAAACACAAGTCCAAGCTACGACCATGAGCCGCTGGACCCTTCAAACTACTCGAGCGCTACAACAACAATGCGTACAAGATCGACTTACCACACGACAAGTACTCCATGAGTGATATCTTCAACGTCAAAGATATCTCTCCCTACCATGGTGATGAGGATTTCGATCCAAGGCCAGATCTATCCCAAGGGCGGGGGGAGATGATGTGGAGCATCCTATGGTCATCCCCATGGACCAACCTACATCTCCCACGACACCACTTGGACCAATGACAAGAGCTTGAGCAAAGGCTATCCAAGATAAGGCGAACTTGCTCCTCTCCGAACTACCACTTTCTACATATGAGACATGGCTACTACCTCAAGCCGAGACCCTATGTGTGATCAGGTACTTGGAGGAAATCCATGGGACAGCTACACCCGACGGACAAGACGACGAGGACACCAAGTACAATTACCAAGAGGAAGAGCTCCCAGGAATCTACAGCCACCGGACGACCGGTACTTGTCGGATGTTCGACGCCTGGGGGCTCCAATCAGCCAGCCGAATCCCAGCCTGTGCGCGGTTCAGCGGCTGGATGACCGACACCGACCGTGCATCTGACATGCTCCAGCCCCTACACGACCGACACCACCATCACAAAACCAAAATGTCAAAAGTATGGAGACAACCAAACGACCGATGCCCCGGATGACCGACGCCCCGGACGTCTGACGCTGGCCAGAAGTCCGACGCAGACCATCCCGAGCCAACACGTCGGACTTCCAGACGACCGGACCCTCATGAGCCATCGGACGACCGGTAGCTGTCGGACGTCCGATGCCTGTGTGTTGATAGTGTGTTGGGCTGAGGCCCATGTACCCCTTCGTCCGCTTGGACTATATAAACTCCTCCTCCTCCCTCTTTCTAGGGTTAGCAAAGGATTAGCTCATTTGAGAGATAAAGCTTTGCTCATCCAACTGATACCTTCTCCATTGGAGTTCACGACCTCTACGGAGAAGATGCCCCAAGTGGATTCAAGACCCCATCATGGGAAGACCCTCAAGACCTCCTCACGGAGAAGACCTTTTGTATCATCCTTTGTTGCATTTGAATCTTGTATCACTCTTTATGTTCATGGATCCAGCACATGTGTGATCGTTCCTCATTGATTTCAGTGTTTCCTCTCATTTCCCCTCACGTCTCCCCTCATGTTCTTCGTACGATCAGCTCCAATCGTGAAAGATCGGCCCTAGGGTTTCCACCCTACATCAGTTAGTGGATCCAGAAATGATATCATCGACATAAATTTGGGACACAAACAATTCACCATTAACTCTCTTAGTGAATAAAATTGGATCAATTTTACCAAACTCAAAACCCTTTTAAATGAGAAACTTCGCTAAGCTTTTCTACCAAGCCCTGGGAGCTGGTTTGAGACCATTAAGATCTTTACAAAGTCTGTAAATATGATTCAGTTTTTAGGGTTCATAAAGACATGAGGTTGTTTAACATACACTTCCTCCTCAATTTCACCATTCAAGAAATCACTTTTATTTTCCACTTGATACAAAGTTATGTTACACCGATTAGCGTAAGCAAGAAGAATGCGATAGACTCAAGTCTAGCAATAGGGGCATATGTCTCACCATTGTCCGTACCTTCAACTTTTGTGTTGCCTTAAGCAACTATGCAAGCCTTGTTGCAACAACTTGTCCATCCACATATTTGTTGTTCCAGAATACCCATTTTGTCTGAATGACAGTTTGACTATCTTTGGGGTTCTCAACTAAATATATACTTTGTTCCACCCGAAGTTATGGAGCTCTTCAAGCATAGCAATCACCCAATCCACATCCTCAAGTGTTCAGGCTGTTTTAATCCCTGGTCGAACAATCTAGGAGTTTCTTCGTAGCTCGGAGATCGACGATCACCCGTCGACATCTAGGGTTGGAGGGATGGAGGAGAGTAATTGGTACACGATACATAATAACTTAGTTCTTGACTTTGCAAATACTAATTTTGTAATTCATTTTCTATGAATATCCAAGATGCTGCATACTTTTGATTACAAATCCCAATATAGGTTTCCATAACTTCAAAACAAAATGTCAAGTGGGAAAAATTATTTGTTGTATATAGAAAAAACAAGTTGAATGATTGAGCAACAAAAAGGCCCAACAAAAAGACCATATGATAGCTTCTTTGTGTTCTAACATTCTTGTTAATACATTATCTTCATTTTTTATGGCAATACCTAGTGAACAAATATCTCCATCAGTAAAAGCCACTATGCTTGTAGAAAATGTATAGTGCATAATTAAAATTATAGGAGACTAGAAGGACTAATCTGGATCTTTCAATCTTGTATTGTTTAGATCATAACACAACAAAAGATGCAAGTTGTTTTTGACCAACGCCTGCTTGTTTATTAAATTATAACCAAAATAACAATAAACTAAAATTTATTCATTATTACCATGTCAAAATAAAGTCACAACCTATAGGCGATTCGAATACATGCTTTGTAAAATTTAACATGTTCATATATTATCATGGGATCGACCAACTAGACCACCTAAACTTATGGCCTCTTTTAGTCAAATAAAAATGAGGAAATTTGTAGGAGTAAGAATTTCACCTATAGGTTATTATTCATCCATTTGATTTGAAGGAATGGATCATAGGAAAATGTAGGTAATTTTCTTTTGGTTTGGGTTTCAAAAGAAGAACATAGGATATTTATTATCATCTCAAATATATTTTCTACATGTTGTGCACATAGAACAAGATAAAAGCCATGAATTGCATTATATTTACTTAATATTACATTCGTTCGTGATTTAACATTCATTTAATTTTTTGTGGTTTATGTGTTTTCCTATTCCCGCATCAAACACCAAGTGCTCCAAACTTCTGCATTTTCACACCCCATCATTTTGCACTGGTAATGCTATCCTAATATAGTGTCATCCTATTATTGAGTATTTTGTAAGCATCCAAAACAAATGGTTCCTATGTATACAAAACAAATTGGACATAATAACATCATATTGTACGATACTCAAGGAGGAAGTAGCACAAGGGTTATTTCTAGCCATGATATCTTTGTCCAAAGGGCTATCTTTAGGCTTACCTCCCCCACATCCTCCAAACTTTTCTCCATATAGGTATCTCTCCATATATAGCTGAAAAAGGACATCCTACACCGATGCATGGTTGAATGGAGAGGACTCAAATGGTTCTTGGCCCTACACAAAATTAGACATAAGATAGAACTCCTCCTCCCACCCTCAGAATTCCATTGACGCGATGCGCCCTCCGCTGAGCTCAGCATAAGTTTATGAAGCATATGCCCAATGACATGCGAGACCTCGCAATATCGAGCTAGCATAATTCTGGGACAAAGAGACAAAGAGAAAAGGAAACAAGTTATTGCCCCTTTGAGGAGGAAGTGAGAGAATTGGTTAACAATGTTAACAAGGTTGCCAACCAATGTTCATTTTTGTTGCCATTGAGATTTGAGATTCGTAAGAGAGTAAGGATTCTAATCTAACATTTTTTTATTTTGAAAAATTCATGTTTAGCTAATCATTTTTGTAGATTTCTTATGTAATTTCACAATCATATGATAGTATTTCCATTGAAAGATTTGCAGTGCATTATATTTCTGTAATTTGTAGATTCAAGGAGACTGCTTGGGCACGAGTAAGTAGAAAAGGGTAGTTCATAAAGGACATGAGCACAAAGATGAAGAAGGGGATCCTGAGGCCCTTCCGCTACTTCTCAAACATAATGGGTACATAATACTGAGTTATTTGTTAAACACAATCAGAGAAACTTTGACTTGCACATTTTATCATAACAAGTATGTAAAATCCCTTCTATAATTTCTTAACTCTAACATAAATTATTTCTCATACTAATATTGATAACTAGATGCTAAGGAACAAGAATTGCAAATTGGTTTCCCAACGGATGTGAAACATGTGGCACATATCGGATGGGATGGACCTAGTGTCCCAAACAAGGAGAAGGAGGCAGGAGCACCTAGTTGGGTAAGTTCAAGTCCTTCCTGGAAATAATTATCATAACGAGGTTAAGAATGAAATTCAAGGATTTTAACAAATATTTGTTTTGCAAGACTAACTATGAGAGTAATCATAATCCGCTAAAATTGGCTAATGTGAGTGCGAGTCAATGTGATTTGAACAACCAAACTTTGGTCGAAATGAAAGCATGCGACTTACATTTGCATGGCCACTCGCACTAGCCACATTCTCAAAAGGCTACCCTTTGTTGTCGTATGCATCATTGATTACACTAGGAAAGGTCACCTAAGGTACCACCAAACTATCCTACTATACACTTACGAGGGCATGTGTATGCTAACTGTGTACCCTCGATGCTATGATGCCAAACACAATTAACACAACATGTAGTCATTTATCAATGGTGCGGTAGGGGAGTGCTTGGATACCAAAGACGAGAAAGAGAAACTTGGAGGATACCTTGGGTCATGCTTTTTGAGGATATGTGACAATGTCAATTGCGCTAGGTTCTTGAAGACCAGCATAACAACGATATTAAATGTCTTTCGAGGGGTTCTACATATCCTGATGCAACAAGGGTGTAATGTATCGACTCGGTTATGCAAGAAACAGGGAATACCCAGGTAGTGCATAATTTTGGTATTAGTGTTTAATATGCTGCACCACAGAGGTTTCCTTTCAACCCTAAATGACTTTCGTTAGCATGTTCTTGAAAATACTTAATTTCAATGACTTCAATGTCCCAGACATCATTTGTTTCACATGAGCCAATATGAATCTTAACTTTTCTACACAAACCATAGTTATAATATTATTCCCCCATAGAAAGGCTAACAAATTATTTTTCCATACTAATATTGATTATTATACATCAATGGATGAGGCAGTGCGCGATTATATTACTATTATTATTCTATTTTCAAAACACAATTGGGAGGGAAAGTCAACTAGCTCGAATCCAATAAAATGTTTTTGATGAGTAGAACCAAAACAAGAAAATATTTTTATGTCGTTGATTTATTTGCAAGATCCCTTACCCATTTTGAAATGCAAATGGAAGAGAGGCAAGTGAAACCAATTAATGATTTTTTAATTGATGGACGGCATTATTGTGGTAAATGTTCTAAGTCTAGAGGAATCATTACATCAATGCATAGAAGAGCACATCATGAATTCAATCCGAATCTTCCTTCCAAGAATAAGGTGCTTAAGAAAGTAATCCTAGTTCGTATTCCGAGCTCACCTTTGGGGGTGCCTATACCATAAAATTTATTTTCATAGGAATCAAAAAGACAGATCATGTAGAATTGTGAGCATTGAATTCTACCATAATCGAGATGAATTTGTCTCATACACTATGGGCACGTGAGAAGAGATATATTTTATACCCCAAAGGGGCTATAGATGGCGCATCCGCTACCTTTGTGTGAATTAAGATATCTGATTTTGAAAGTAACAATTTAATTTGGACTTACCAGATGAAAGACTACCACTCAGCACCACTGGATTCAGCCTCGTTTAGGAGTGATAGGGGAGGTTCTGCTGCCTCTAACCCATGGGCTTCTCAAGGTTAAATTCTAACCCTCTTACTTTCCATAATTTAATTACATGAAACCTTTCATAAAATTCATGTGCAACTTTAATTTAAGTGACCCGTTGATTAGAATATATTACCATTCAAATAATCTACCATCTTTATACAAAATGATGCAAAAACTAAAACTTCTTCTCTTCTGACGACAGAAATAGTTCTAGATGGAGCGGGCCTGGGAGATACCTCTTTCGGGGATACTAAAAGTGAAGCTGGTGGAATCGATGTCACTGTTGGTGACTCCCCTCCGTCCCCGGGCTCCCGCCGGTCAAGGCGAAACCGCTCTCGGGGTTCTGACACCTCCTCTATGGATGTCACAACAGGCAATACTGAGATCTTGGAGAAGAAGGAGAAGGCCAAGAAAGGCACCCGAAAGAATAGAAAGAAAGATAAGGACAAGGCAGCTGAGGACACTGCCGGTTCCACCTGTCAGGACCTCCCCGCAGTGCCCAAGAAGTCCAACCGCAGAAAAAACAAAGGAAGCTCTGAAGGAAGTGGTGGTGCATCGACCAAGGATGGTGGAGGTGGACCAGAGGTGGGCACAATACCGCTAACTCTGGTGGCCGACGAAGAAAAGGATCACGAATTGTAAACTATTGACAGGCAAGCTGCTCTCATTTGGAGATGAAAGCATATGCTCGTTACGAGCTAGAGTACTTTGAGTTTAATTGGTTGGATCAAGTGGTGATTGATATATAATAAAGTACTCAAATCAAATGACACAAGCATGCAGGTGTTGAAGGTTACATGCTGTTTTAGCATTAACAGGAATGGGTTTGCACACCCTAACACAACTCTTTTCCTCTATTTTCTTTGTAATACTGATCATTTTTAAAACCCATTGTCCTGTTCCAGATATATATATATATGATGTGTATTGCGTCTGATATGCCTCACCTGTGTTATATGTATGATATTTTGATGTACTGTGAAAGGACACAAAAGTCAATATGTAGACCGAAAGGTTGGTGCACAACTACCATGCACCATTATGCACACGCGAGTAAACTTGGATGTAGTGATTACTACGCGATTGGTTTGAAACCAGTCCAGGTTTTTTGGGGGGACACTATACAGTGCACTTTACAAGAGCTACATCAATCAACACATCTTGTTGAATAAAACAAGGGGATCACAATACCAAATAGCAGGAGTAAATGTACTAAATGTGTGTTTCACAAGTTTATGGGCTATGGAACGACCCAAATATTTACGTAGACTAGAATCTCCGTGCTTACCATGCCAGGCCCGGTATCAATTGATAACCCATACAATTTACAATGAAATACTAGTTGATAGAGGCAAATGTGTCCGGTCTTTCAAGGACACGGTGGCTATCATTTTTGGTGGAGTAGACTGTGAGGATCCGACTACAAACATGTGAGAAGGTCGTGCCTTAGCAATCGCTAAACCAACTCCAAGAGGTTATTGACCATGCCAAAGCACGATCAACCTGACGACGATGTTCTATTTTCTACAAAAAACAAAGAACAAGCGAGAAAACTGAGACTGCTATCTATATATTGTGAATATAAGAGGAAAGCTTTATTAATCAAGGTGGGGTTCTGTGACGTCTTGGTCTGGTCGTTGAACACAAATGAAGTACGCAAAGTTGCAGCTATGGCAAACTTTAATCAAAACAAAACCCAAAGTATAAACGATGCCCTAAGGGTTGTATATATGGAGGAAGAGAGGGGGAATTTTGTGACCCCTTGGAGGAGGGGTCCGAAACCGGCCCTAACTCTGCTTCCCCACACATACAAACTCTAAAAATAGCCTATACTGAAGTATTTCGAAATTACATGGGCCTGACCACATAATAAGGTGAGGCAACACCTATAATAGCCTCTGGATGAAATTCATGAAGTGGCATCTTGTATATTTCGTCCAAGCCTTCATGCACTCATTATGGTGGCTTCAAAGTCCTGAAATCATCACTTGTAACTCTGTTCTCGTTCCCCCTTGCGCATCCCATCATCTCCATGCTTGATCTTGCTCCAATGTTCATCCTTCTTATCCAAGCTTGTCCCATCATTTGTAAGAAAGACAAATGTATCCAATTTAGGCAGCATCATATTCTCATGAACATTAGAATCATTACCAAGAAACAAAAGTACCTGGTAATTTAATTGGCGTGCACGATCTCTAGTAATTGGTCCAGTATGTATAGAAGCAGGGGCTATGGGTGTAACAATGGTATTGATGTCCTCATCATCCTCCACTTCTTGCAATGAACTCGTCCTCGACGAAAGCTCATCATCCTCACGCAAATAAGGCTTCAAAACTGCAATGTTAAAAGTGGGACTAACCCCAAAATCTGCAGGCAGCTCAAGTTTATATCCATTATCATATATTTTTGCTAACACCTTAAAAGGACCATCATCATGTGGAACTAGTATTGATTTGCGCAAATTAGTAAACCTTTCCTTACGCAAATGTAACCAAACAAGACCTCTTGGTGCAAAGACAACATGTTTCTACCTTTATCTCTAGCAAGTTTATATTTAGCATTCATACACTCAATGTTTTCCTTTGTTAACTCATGCATTTTTAAGATCAATTTAGCACGTTGTTTAGCATTCAAATTAACCTTCTCCGAAGATGGAAGAGGCAACAAATCAGTAGGTGCATGAGGTAGGAAATCATACACAATTTCTAAAGGGGACATCTAATAAGGACATCAACACCATTGTTACACCCACATCCCATGCTGCTATATATACTGGACCAATTACTAGAGCTCGCGCACGCCTATTAAATTACCAGTTACTTTCGTTTCTTGGTGACAATTCTAATGTTCATGAGAGTATGATGCTCCCTAATTGGATACAATTGTATTTATTACTAATGAAGGGCCTATCATGCACAAGGGGATGAATACTGGAGCAGGATCAAGCATGGAGATGAAGGTGCACGCGAAGGGATCCTGAATGGCGTTTCTAGTGCATATTTTAGCACTTTGAAGCCTCTGTGATGACCTACAAGGACATGGACGAAATATACAAGATGCCCCTTCATAACTTTCATCCATAGCTTATATTATGTGCTGCACCACCTTATTTTTGGCCAGGCCCATGTAATTTCCAAATACTTAAGTATAGGCTGTTTTTAGAGTCCGTATGTGTGAGGAAACAAAGTTAGGGTTGGTTTCAGATCCCTCCTACAAGGGGCCACAAAATCCCCCCTACTCCTACATATATACAACCCTTAGGGCGTCGTTTAGACTTTGGGGTTTGGTTTAGATTAAAAGTTCACCATAGCTGCAACTTCGTGTACTTCGTTTGTGTTCAACGACCAGACTAAGATGTCACAGAACCCCACTTGATCCATCAAGTTTCCACTTTTATTCGCAATATCCAGATCGCAATTTCAGTTTCTTGCTTGTTCTTCGTTTGCTTGCAACCCTCGTGGTCAGGTCGATCATGCTCCGGCGTGGTCAATAACCTCTCGGAGTTGGTTTAGCGATTGCTAAGGCGCGATGTCCTCGCACATTCATAGTGGGATCGTCAAAGTCTACTCCACCAAAAACGATAGCCACCATCTCATCGAAAGACGGGACGCCTTTGCCTCTACCAACATCTTAGTAGTAGAATGCAGCGAACGATTATAAGCATATTCAATATGAGGCAAGCATTTCTTACACATTTTTTTCTTATTCTGCAAAACAACCCTAAGCATGGTAGACAATGTTCTATTGACTACTTCAGTTTGTCCATCCGTTTGTGGGTTACTGGTAGAGGCAAAGGTGTCTCGATGTTTCGATGAGATGGTGGCTATCGTTTCTGTGGGGGTCGACCTTGACGATCCGACTACGAACGTGCGAGACGTCGCGCCTTAGCAATCACTAAACCAACTTCCGAGGAGTTATTGACCACGCCGAAGCACGATCAACCTAACCATGAGGGTCTATTTCCAGCAAGCAAACGAAGAACAAGCAAGAAACTGAGATTGCAATCTGGATATTGCGAATATAAGATGAAAGCTTTATTGATCAAGGTGGGGTTCTGTGACGTCTTGGTCTGGTCGTTGGACACAAACGAAGTACGCGAAGTTGCAGCTATGGCAAACTTTTAATCTAAACAAAACTCAAAGTCTAAACGATGCCCTAAGGGCTGTATATATGGAGGAGAGAGGGGGAATTTCGTGGCCCTTGGAGGAGGGGTCCGAAACCAACCCTAACTCTTGTTTCCCCACACATACGGACTCTAAAAACAGCCTATACTTAATTATTTCGAAAATACATGGGCCTGGCCCAATAATAAGGTGACGCAGCACCTAGAATAGCCTCTGGACGAAATTTATGAAGTGACATCTTGTATATTTCGTCCAAGGCTTCAGGCACTCCTTATGGTGGCTTCAAAGTCCTGAAATCATCACTTGTAACTCTGTTCTTTATCCCCATGCACATGTCATCATCTCCATGCTTGAACTTGCTCCTAGGTTCATCTTTCCTGTCCAAGCTAGGCCCTTCATTTGTAAGCAAAACAAATGTATCCAATTTAGGCAGCATCATATTCTCATGACCATTAGATTCGTTACCAAGAAAAGAAAGTACCTGATAATTCAATTGGCGTGCGCGAGCTCTAGTAATTGGTCCAGTATGTATAGCAGCAGGGGATGTGGGTGTAACAATGGTATTGATGTCCTCATCATCCTCCCCTTCGTGAAATGAAGTTGTCCTCGACGAAAGCTCATCTTCCTCACCCAAATAAGGCTTCAAATCTGCAATGTTAAAAGTGGGACTAACCCCAAAATCTGCAGGTAGCTCAAGTTTATATGCATTATCATTTATTTTCTCTAACACTTTAAAAGGACCATCAGCACAAGGCATTAGATTTGATTTGTGCAAATTAGGAAATCTATCCTTGCGCAAATGTAACCAAACAAGATCTCCAGGTGCAAACACAACATGTTTTCTACCCTTATCTCCAGCAAGTTTATATTTAGCATTCATACGCTCAATGTTTTCCTTAGTTAACTCATGCATTTTTAAAATCAATTCAACACGTTCTTTAGCATCAAAAATAACATTCTCCGAAGATGGAAGAGGCAACAAATCAATAGGTGCACGAGGTAGGAAACCATACACAATTTCAAAAGAGCACATCTTAGTAGTAGAATGCAATGAACGATTATAAGCAAATTCAATACGAGGAAAGCATTCTTCCCACATTTTCTTATTATTCTTCAAAACAGCCCTAAGCATAGTAGATAATGTTCTATTGACTACTTCAGTTTGTCCATCAGTTTGGGGGTGACAAGTAGTACTAAAAAGTAGTTTAGTCCCCAACTTAGCCCATAAACATCTCCAAAAGTGGATAAGAAATTTAGTATCACGATCTGAAACAATAGTATTTGGCACACCACGCAAGCGAATAATTTAACGAATGAACAAATCAGCAACATTAACAGCATCATCGCTTTTATGACATGGTATAAAGTGTGCCATTTTCGAGAACCTATCCACGACAACAAATATGTTATCCCTCCCCTTCTTTGTTCGAGGTAAACCTAAAACAAAGTCCATAGATATATCCTCCCAAGGAACACTAGTTACAGGCAAAAGCATATATAAACCATGAGGATTGAGTC